TAAACTCGTTTCGCTCTTGTTTTCTATACTTGGACAATGGATAACATCGAGAAAATCGTGCAAGCTCAAAGGACGATTGCAACTGAGATCGAAGTAATTATCAGAAATTACAAAAAGGACTCCAGCGATAGGAAGCAGACACCGGCATATTTTGAAAAACGACTTCAGGATCTCAAGAAGGCATGGCAACAATTCGAAATCAATGATAATACCCTCTAGAAAGAATGTTCGGAAGACAAGTCGCATGAATACTTCACTAAGAATTTCTATGAACAGGTATTGAAAATTTGGGAACAATACGAAGCCACTTTTAGTGAACAAATAACATTGTTGTCAAACGTAACCTCATTCGCCACTAATAAGAATGTAGAAGCACAAGTAATAGCTACGAAAAACAGCTCATGTGATTCCAATAAACTATCTCTAATGATGCGACGCCAACAAGAGTTTGGCAAAACTATAAAACGTCAACTAATTGACGCTAACATCACCACGGACATACCTTTAGCACGTAAGGTACTGTTGAAGGATTCTATTCTTCGCTTATGGGCCCATTTTGAGGAACTCCATTACAGCATTTGTGAATTAGAATCCAATCCAGCAACTATTGGATATGATGAAGAAGGGTTTATATCGTTAGAAAGAGAAGTCCAAAATATGTCCTTAAAGGTGGAAGAGTTGAAACTTGCTTCAACGTCTTCGCATACCTCAACATTAACATCTGCATCAATGCAGTTACCACGAGTAATAATACCAAGGTTCAGTGGGAACTACTTGGAATGGAGGCAATTTCGCGACTTGTTCAATGAAGTGGTAAATAAACAATCACTTGCGAATTGCCAAAAAATGTTTTATCTAAAATCGAATTTGGACGGAGAAGCAGCACGTCTAATTGCTCATTTAACAGTATCTGAGGATAATTTTAGTAGTGCCTGGAGTTTACTTTGCCAGCGCTACGATAATAAGCGGCTTCTTGTGAATGCATTTATTGCAAAACTTATTTCTCAACAAATTATAACATCTGAAAGCTCTGAAGCTATCAAACGACTCCATGATACAACTTCTGAGTGTATTCTTGGACTTAAAAATCTTGAAATCAACATCGAAAACTGGGATCCAATAATACTTTTCATTTTGACGAAGAAATTGGATCCAATAACACACAGCTTGTATGAACAGAACGTGAAGGATCCAAGAAGAATCCAACAGTTAAATGAATTTCTGGAATTTTTAGAACTTCGCTTCCAAGCATTAGAGGCAATTGGAGGCAAGAGCATTAACAAGGCGTGTTTAAATACTACAAATGGAATGTTAAAATGTTTAGCTTGCAAGGGAGATCATAAAACTTCCACTTGTAAAAATTACTTGAAAAACCCCCCGGAAATTCGCAGAAATATGATTCTCAGTGCCAAACGTTGTGTAAATTGCTTGCGCTCGGGCCATTTTTCAACAAAATGCCCATCTCAGGGTTGTCTGAAATGCAAAAGAAGGCATCATACAACTTTACATGAACTTTATGCTGCCAATGGCAAGTCTCAGGTCACTACTGACTCATCGCGAAATAACGATTCACACCAATTAGGTGGGCATGCAGCAGCTACGCTTACAACAAGTAGACCCGTAGAGTTGAAGAAATCTTATGGTTTACTAGCAACTGTAATAATGACGGTTCTGAATTCTCAGGGCGTGGAATGCAAGATGCGTGCATTACTGGATTCAGGCTCACAAGTGAACCTCATAACAGAACGAGCAGCACGAAAACTTGGGCTAACTCAATTATCAAGCTCGCTGAATCTTAGTGGCGTCGGTCAGAAAAACAAGTGCTCAAAAAAAAGAGTCTACGTAGTTATATCATCTAGTGTAACTAACTACAAAACTGAAATAGAAGCTCATATGTTGCCAACAATAGTTGCAAATCAGCCTGCAATTGAACTGGATACATCAAATTGGGCTATACCAGAAGGAGTTGTGTTGGCTGATGCCCAATTCAACAAACCAGGTCCAGTAGATATTCTTATTGGCGTTGAATTATACAACGACATGGTTCTGCCAAGGAGAATTTCGCTAGGAAACAATTATCCAATGTTACAAAAAACTGTGTTTGGGTGGATGGTCAGTGGTCGGATTTCTGGGTTTTCGTCTTCTGCATCGATTTGCGGTGTTCTTACAAATAATGTAGAACTCGACCTGCACAAATTTTGGGAACTAGAGGAGATACAGCAAGGTTCGTCGGATCAAACACTTGAAGAACAGCAATGTGAGGAACACTTTAATCGATCTGTGGCAAGATCAACTGATGGTAGATTCGTTGTGAAATTACCATTCAAAGGAGAAGTCACTTCTTTAGGCTATTCGCAAAGATTAGCACAGCAACGTTTTTTCGCTGTAGAAAGACGTCTCAACGGAGACCCTGAATTCAAAACAACATACAATAAATTTATGGAAGAGTACATCAACCTGGGACATATGAGTGTGATCAACCCAGATGATATAATCCATCCCTGTTATTTTTTGCCTCATCATGGAGTTCTTCGACCAGAGAGCTCCACCACGAAACTTCGAGTAGTGTTCGACGCCTCTGCACCAACTTCCACAAGCATATCTTTAAATGATGTGTTAGCTACTGGTCCAACTATCCAGGATGATTTATTCGCTATACTGACACGTTTTCGTTTATCTAAATTCGTTTTCACGGCCGATATCGAGAAGATGTATCGTCAAATTATGGTGGACCAAGATGACCGTCGATTCCAACTAATTTTATGGAGAAACAACGACAATGAGCCTCTTCGAACTTATCAACTTAATACCGTAACTTATGGGACATCGTCAGCACCGTATCTTGCCACAAAATGCTTGCAACGGTTGGCTGAAATTGAAGAAAGTAGGCACCCGACAGCTGCAGCTATCGTCAAAAGAGATTTTTACGTAGATGACGTCATGACAGGGTTCAACAGTATGTCTGAAGCATTACATGCACGAAACGAACTTATAAAACTATTGCACAAGGGTGGCTTTAAGCTTCGCAAATGGTGCGGCAATCATCCAAAATTAATGGAAGGGTTGCACCCATCCGACATAGCTGTACAACTAGACTTCAACACGATGGAATGCGGTCACATTAAGACATTGGGCCAAGTGTGGATCCCAACAACAGATGAGTTTAAGATACAGATCAACAAAAACGAACACGTCAAATATACTAAAAGAAGTATATCATCCGACATTTCTCGAATTTTCGATCCGCTTGGGCTCGTTAGTCCAGTCACAGTAGAAGCTAAATTGTTCTTGCAACACTTGTGGACGCTGAAACTTGATTGGGACGAAGAATTGTCAAACGAGCTAACCTGTCAATGGGTGCGTTACATGGAAAGCTTAAACTGTCTCAATAACATAAAACAGCCACGTCATCTTTTCGGAAACGAGATTCCAAAATCAACGCAAATACATGCTTTCGCCGATGCTTCAGAACGAGCTTACGGCGGAGTAATTTATCTACGTTCCATTACGCAGCACGGACAAGTGATTGTCCGCCTCCTTTGTGCTAAATCGAGATTAGCCCCAATCAAGAAATTAACAACCCCAAAGTTAGAACTATGCGCCGCTCTACTAACAGCACAATTATTAGCTAAGGTAAAAAATTGCATGCAGTTGACAGATACCACAACACATTTATGGACAGACTCGGAAATTGTATTGGCATGGATCAATTCATCGGCAGCCTCCTACTACGCATTCGTGGCAAATAGGGTGACAAAAATTCTCGAAATTTCCAGCAAGGGCCAATGGCGACATGTTAGATCCAAGGATAATCCTGCCGACATACTATCGCGCGGCATTGAAGCATCCAAACTAAGCAGCTGCCACTTATGGTTTTACGGTCCTATGTTCCTGCATGGTCACCAGTCACTATGGCCTGCTCCATTCAAAGCCAGATCAGAATGTAAAGTGGAACTTAAGAGATCAATACATGCAGTAACAATCGATCCCAACAAACCACATTTCTTACACAATATCGATCATAAGAATTCCTTTTCCAAATTGGAAAGAATAACTGCTTATGTTATTCGTTGCACACAAATTCTCCGGAAGGCATCATTGGAACAAAACGAATGTCACTTATCCAGTGTAGAATTGACACGTGCTCGTCAAGTGATCATTCGCATGATACAAGACGAGGGATTAGCAGAAGAAAAAAATTCACTTCGTAAGGGCTTAGAAGTCAGCAAAACTAGTACAATTAAGGCTTTGTCTCCATTCATTGATCAACAAGGTCTTCTAAGAGTTGGCGGGCGGCTTCAATCTTCCTCACTTTCATTTGAGGCGAAGCACCCAGTCTTGCTACCAGATTGCCCATTAACAAGGCTGTTAATACAAGAGACTCATGTCCGCAACAAACATATTGGACCACAAGGATTAATGGCAATCATGCGACAGCAATACTGGCCACTCAAAGGAAAGATGACAGCAAGAACTATTATTCACAAATGCGTTATCTGCACCAAGGCGAAACCGACACTACTAAATCAAATCATGGGAAATTTGCCAACTGATCGCGTTGAACCAGCACGAGCATTTGTAAACTCAGGAGCTGACTTTTGGGGTCCAATATGGACTCATTATCGTATCAGGGGAAAACGTCCAACAAAAAGCTACGTGGCCGTATTTTGTTGCTTTGCAACAAAGGCCATACATATGGAGGTAGTCACAGATCTTACAACTGACTCATTCATCATGGCATTAAAACGTTTCATAGGAAGAAGAGGGATGTGCCGGAAAATATACTGTGACAATGCCACTAATTTCGTTGGAGCCAATAAGGAACTTGCTGAACTAAAAAATGCTGTGTTCGATGAAAGAAGCCAAGAAAAAATACAGGGTGTTTGCTGTTCGTACAATATCGATTTTAAGTTCATCCCACCACGAGCCCCACACTTCGGTGGATTGTGGGAAGCTGCCGTCAAGTCAGCAAAAAATCTATTTAAACGAAGTGCATCGAACGTCAGTCTTACATACGAGGAGTTAGAAACACTCATAATAGAAATCGAAGCGATTTTGAATTCGAGACCACTAACTCCGACGTCATCAGATGCTAACGACCTAACCGCCATAACTGCTGGACATATCTTAATCGGTGATCCCCTCACTGCAACAATTCATGTTGACGCGAAGCCTCTACATTTAAATTTAAAAAAAAGATATGAGCGCATTATCAGTATTAAAGACGACTTCTGGCATAGATGGCGGTCAGAGTACTTAAGTGATTTACAGCACCGATCAAAGTGGCAAAAGGTCCAAGACAATGTCAAAGTGGGCCAAATGGTTCTAATTCATGAAGATAATACACCGTCACTTCAGTGGCCGTTGGGGAGAATAGTAGAAACCTTCATAGGCCCAGATGGAAAAATTCGTGTAGCTAATGTGCGTACCAAAAATGGTATAATAAAACGAGCAATTCATCGACTAGCACTACTGCCGATCGATACAAGCGAACCAATCGAGCAAAACACATCCGAAAAACCAATATGCATAAATGAAACAATAACGGAGGCCCCTACGCCAACTGTTCAAGATAGTACCCCAAAAAAGCGGCGACGACTCAGCATAGGAAACGTTCTGCTAACAACTTTAATGGCCTGTTTTGTGACTGCATCCCAATGCAGCCCAATCGTCGAGCAATTTACCAGACCTGGACTCTATTTCGAAAACATCGGAGCTACCAAAATCATATCAAGTCAGTGGAACATTGTAGTATACTACAATTTATCATCTTTTTGGATTGCCTGGGATTCGATTAGGTCGACTACAGCAGCCCTTGATAACATTTGTCATCAAAGCGGTGGCCAATTTGCATGCGACAGACTCGTAACCTTTTATGACCACTGGCACAGCGACATTGAAATGGAAAATGCCCTACTCAAATCCCCTATTGCAAGATCGAAACGGGGAGCAATAAATATTATTGGAAATGTAGCTAATTCCTTGTTTGGCGTATTAGACTCAAATTATGAAACAGAGATGAAACACCATTTGAGCCAAATCTACGACAACGAAGAATACCTTAACAAATTACTTAAAAACCACACATCAATTTTGGACGCAACACTAAACATCTTGAAACAAACTCAAGACGCCTCAAAACGGAAATTCACTGACTTAGATGCACAAATAAAGTTGATAATGTCAACTATCAATAATGTCAGTAATGCACTCGACAAAAGTGCATTATATTATACATTTACTTCATTGGCGTTGCAAGTACTAACGTTAACTCACAACTTCCAAATGCAACAACAGGCCTTAATAGACGCTATCACCGATGGTCATCATGGCAAGATTAATCCTCTACTCATATCCACTGATCAGTTTCGAAAGGAACTGCAAAACATTCGGACACACTTATCGCAAAATCTACAACTTCCAATAGAAGATGACAGCATCTTGGAGTATTTTCGACTCATTGAACTCAAGCTATTTAAAACGGATACACAGGTTGTATTTTCGCTACTACTGCCATTAGTAGATTCTGAAACATTTGAATTGTTCCAATTAACACCAATTCCAGCTGCAATAAATGGGTCACTTGTCATCATTAAACTTTTAACAAGATTTATCGGAATAAATTTGCATAAGGAACAACTGTATCCTATGAATAAGGAGTTGGTCGGTTGTCATGAGGTCAGCAACAACATCTATCTATGCTATCAACAACACCCAATTTATCGAGCAAACGCCGAAATAGGAAAATGTGAAATGGACTTGTTTCACAATAAAGACGCAACCAGCTGTCAACTTCAACGACTCGATCAAAATACCACTTGGTTCCAGCTACACAATTCTAATCAATGGATTTACGGCATGAGCACTCCTTCACCTGTCAACCT